TGGGGGCACGACTGCGCATGCGCAGCGCCATATTGGATTCTATTTTTAGAATGTCATCATCGTTCTTTTTTTTGGACTGACATCATCGTACTATTTTTAGAATGACATTATCGTTCTATTTTTAATCTCCCGAAGTATACGGAGCTGACTCGTATACCCGATTAAGGGCTTGAATCGCGGACATGGTAGGTCAGGTCCTCGGCCATAGACATTTCAAGTGAAAATTACACATGTATCCATAAAAAATATAAATGAATAAAAATGACTTAACTTTTAATTAGGACATTTTGTATTTAAATAATAGTCTATATTATTCATATAACATTATTAATAAAAATAGTATTAAAAACTGATAAAATATTAATATATTATTTCAAATGTGTTTTTTTTTTTATAAACATTCCATATAAAAGAAAATGCGTAAGTGATAAGATATAATTGAAAACTGACTGACTAATTGACTCTCTATAATACAATGAATAAGACAATTAATTAATGTATTAATTTAAATGTGTTTCATTATAAACTTTTTTAACATATAACAAACTATGTGAAATTAATTTTCAATTTAATTTGATATTATGACTCAGTAAAATAATGTTTCTATATATGATAATAATAAGGACTTTTACTGTAAAATAATTAGTTTAATTAATATTTCCTTAAATACATACATACGATGTTGATTTCTCGGCGTCGCGAAACGAAATGACTCTTTCAAGTTTTTTGCATTCCTTAATACGCATGACCGTTTCTAATGACCTCATCAGTTAATTTAAAAACGGACAAAAGGCTATTCAGGTGTCAAAATTAATCCATTCAGAATGTCAACAAAGTCTGGCGTATGTTGATTTAAGAGCAGATGTGCGGACAATGGTACATTCAACTGTTAAAATTAATCCCTTTAAAGTCGCCACGCTGTTTGGCGTGTGTTTATTTAGGGACGAATACTTTAACAGTGGTCTATGTAAGTGCCAAGCCTAGCTTGTTTACATTATTTGGCGTGTGTTTATTTAAGGACGTATACTTTAATCAAGGTTCATTTAACTGTCAAAATTAATCCCTTTAAAATCGCCGCAATGTTTGGCGTCTTGTTTATTTAGGGAAGAATACTTTAATAATGGTCTATTCATGTGCCAAGCCTAGCTTGTTTACATTATTTGGCGGGTGTTGATTTAAGTTCGGAAGAGTTAACAAAGGTCCATTTAACTGTTAAAAAGAATCTCTTTAAAGTTGCCACTGGGTCTGGCGTATGTTTATTCAGGGACGGATATGCGGACAATGCTCCATTCAAAAGTTTATCCGTCTAAAGTAAAAGCGGGTTAGCAATAAGCTATTGAAGTGACAGTTTACCACTGGGGCATAATTTTAAACTCATTTTGGAAAAGAAATGCCAACATGTTTTTAAAACTGATCACCACGAATGTGCAAAATTATAAAAAAAAACTATTATCAATGGACACTAAAACCGAACAAAAATACAACAGAAAGGCGTTTTTCGTCTTTTGTGCAACATTTTACGATATACATTTTGATTTTTTTCGCATTAAATGGTAGACCTGACAGAATGCTTCGAAATAAACCCAAGGTTCTCGATTCGATTTTTAGGCGTTCTCGAGTAATGCCCCTTTAGCGATTTTTAAACCATTTTTTAAAAGTCCATAAAACCCTTAGATTTATATGCCGTTTGAAAGATCTCGGCGAGAAGATACAGAAAATGTATTATTATATAGATCTATCTCTTACCGTTTTTCAGATAGGAGAGTTTGAATATGGCAGACAAAATCACTCATGCGGAAAAACGCGCATAACTTTTTCGTTAATGAACGAAACATAGTCGTGTTTGGTATCAAATTGAAGGTCTCGACGAGGACATTTTAGTCACGCGATCAAACCGGATGTCAAGTCACTCGTGCGTGAAATTCATTTTTCCCAAACCAACGGACCGATCTTATCAATACCTGTATCGAACGAAAGGTATTACTCACTAGATTCAGAAAATGTATAATTTTGTATCGCTGACTCGGATAGGGCCCGATAAATGAAGTAAAAAATCACTCAAGCGAAAATGTGGATTTACGCCTTTATTAGTCAATATAACCCGGTCATGTTTGGTATCGTACGAAATGTTTTAAGGCGCTCTTTATAAATACGGACTAAAATCGAAATAAAAATCACTATTAAATCTTTTAATCATTCTTCATTGAAAATACTGTACTCGAAATATAAACTCAACTTACTGCGTTAATGATGTTAACTCTATGACGTTCAATCACCAAATGACTGAAGTTACCACTGCCATACATCATACGCATGCGTTGATCTAAATTTAGAAATGACATTGTCCAATCTAAAAGCAGTTTCTCTTTTCTTACGGACTAATGTAACCAATCAGACAAAAGAATTATTTGACCAATGATTTTGATCACGTGACTATAAATAACATAAATAGATGAATAACCTCATGCCAAAAATAGCAGCCAATCAGATTTTAATACGTTTGTGTATAAATGAATACTTATCAGCGTATTGGCATAAGCAAGATGAACGCCACTGACTGTAAATCCTTCAACCAAAACATGGAATATTACGAAAGTAGACTTAAGACGTTCGATACGTATACAAAACAATTACTCCCGAATAAGTACGAACTGGCAAGCGCGGGATTATACTACAGCGGGAAATCAGACTTGTGCGAGTGTTTCAAATGTCACATAAAATTAAGCGCCTGGGATAGATCGGACATTGCATTGAGAGAACATCACAAGTGGTCACCCAATTGCGAATATATTAAAATAGTGGGCGCTCCTCAACAAAAACCGCGCCCAATAGGCGGATTTTGGCGCGTTTGTATCAACAACTAGCTTAACACCTACCGTATACTTCCGGGAGATTAAAAATAGAACGATAATGTCATTCTAAAAATAGAACGATGATGTCATTCTAAAAATAGAATCCAATATGGCACCGCGCATGCGCAGTCGTGCCCCCAAAGAGGCCCCTAAACTACTCAGAGTAATGCCCCTTTTACTTTGAAAATAATATGAAATTTTTAGTTTCCGTTCATTATCTACCCAACGGTACAACACATTCAACTCAAATTTGACATATGGATATGTCATGAGAAAATACTGGTCAAGTTCGAATTTAGTAATGGTTCGACGATTTTTGGCAGAGTTATGTCCCTTTTACTTTGAAAATAATATGAAATTTACAGCTTCTGTTCATTATCTACCCAACAGTGTTACTTATTTAACTCAAATTTGACATATGGATATGTCAATTGAATGGGCAGGTCAAGTTGGAATTTGGTCATGGTTCGATGATTTTTTGGCAGAGTTATGTCGCTTTCACTTTGAAAATAATATAGATACATCTTAGAAATAAGCAGTTTAAGTTTTAATTTGGTCGTGGTTCAATGATTTTGGACAAACTTATCCTACTTGAATATTGGAAAAATTTTGAATTTTCAGTTTCAGCACTCATACTTTTGTGGAAATGTTTGAGCCATTATTTTGGCAACAAATATGAAATATGCTATTTTCAAAAGGTAAAGACTGAATAATTTCAGTGCCTTGAACATTTTATGAAAATGGTTTTTGTTAAGATTGAAAAGTTTAAAGGGCTTTGAACTTAAAATGAAAACAATAATTTGTGGAAACAAATTTGGAACTAAATATTATAACATCGGCTGCATGCGGGGGCGTCCGTGGCATGATGACACATTTCTAGTTTCGTTATATATCCTTTAAATAACAATAATTATCTTTAAAACTTCATTAAATGCCGTTTTATTGTTAAAATAACATTTCTATAACATTATTTTTTTTTGCCGCCAGGCCGCTGGGCCGCCAACTTCACAAAAATGACAAAATAAAAAAAAATCTCTGAAAGTGATTTTTTTCTTTTTATATATCCTTTAAATAACAATAATTATCTTTTAAACTTCATTAAATGTCGTTTTATTGTTAAAATAACATTTCTATAACATTAAAATTTTTGGCCGCCTGGCCGCTGGGCCGCCAACTTCACAAAAATGACAAAATAAAAAAAAATCTCTGAAAGTGGTTTTTTTTAAATATCCTTTAAATAACAATAATTTTTTATCGTTTTATCGTTAAAATATTATTTCTACGACATAAAAATTTCTGGCCGCTGGGCAGCCAACTTCACGCCGCCAGGCCACTGGGCCGCCAACTTTACGCCGCAAGGCCGCCAGGCCGCTGGGCCGCCAACTTCACAAATCTCTACCACTACCAATATTGTTTTAATTTAAGCCCTGGTATAAAATTTGCCTTGTGCGAGAGTTGGGAGAGGGAGTCATTAATTTTCGTTTTGTACTTGTAGTAAATTTAGGAAAGTACAAGGCTAGAGCTTAGGGCTTTGATGCCTATATTGTGTCAAGTACAAATGCTTTTATTTTGAATCAATAATTGCACTATGGAGTGCAATTTTTCCAGTGAATGTGTTTTGCATGTAAACAAAAATGTTCACCTAACGTTTATGTCTTGCTGAATGATTCAATACCACATTTTTATAGACTACAAACCCGCATGTTGGTCTTGTTTTTAAAGTAATAGATAAAAACACTGAATACTCTATTTTACTTTTTCAGTACTGTATACTGCAGATAATAAACAGGTCTTGCCACAAAACACAGCACTAGTCTGTAGGAACAAAACCTCTTTCTTGTCCTATTAATAACTTGAGAAGAAATAAGCCTAGATTTGAGTTCGGAATCGACTGTACCAGAAGATAACTTCTATTGAGTTCAGTAGATTAAAATCGTATGGTCTTGATAACACAAATATTGTCAAGCAATGTATGCCTCAGTGCTTGCAGCGCTTTGATTTTAAGCTGTTATAATTTGACAGGTGATAAAAAATGACCTTTGTTTGTTATATTTCCATTAAAACCTGCTATATTTGTAAAATATATTTTAATGACGTGCGATTTTGCCATTGTTTATTTTCACACATTATATTTACACAACAAAAGTATTAAAATTTGTCAGTGCATTTTATTTTCTTATTTGTTTTGTACATGTAAATACTGATAGATATTGATGAAACACGACGAAACACATTATCAGTGGTGGAAGTAATGTAACATCATCAAATTTTGAAATGTTGTCTGTTTTTATAGGTTAATTTTGTACAAATATCTTAGTTAAAACGCAGAAATAAAACTCATCAATGCGAGAATGGTGACACCGCAGAAATAAGATACGCAGAAATTTAAATCCCCTTATTTTAACAAAAATCGCAGAATATTAAGACCGCAGAAATAAGTACTTATACGGTATAATTAGGCAAAAAGGCGTTCCATACGACTATGATATGTTGTCGTTGTCTCTCAGTATGGTATCAACGTTTTGTCAAGACCTAACACAAAAAGAATATTAGTTTATTACTGCCCTTTTTATGCCTGAATAATTCTTAAATTATGGAAAATCTTCTAACTATTCGTATGATTTAACGTGTTGTTTCAGGAAGTTACAATCGACAACAACATGGTTGTCATAGTAATTGCCATTAATAATCGTATGAGACTCCCACTTTCTTTGTTGCTTCTTGAAACTTTGACCTTGTTATCATTATCAATATCGTCGTTGTCTGAAATTAAAACAAAGTATACTTAAATGACGTCATGAATCAAATTGTTCAATTCTTTTCCTTCAATAAGAATGTTAACAATTTATTTATGCCACTTTGAGCTGCATTTGTAACAAAGTGACGTCACTCACTTATGCTTATAATAGTTCTTATCTATTGAAATATGAATGAGTTAGGGCGCCCATTGTCGAATTGTAAACGTCAATGACTTCAAACTACTTGGCCTCTACCGCTGTGAGTTTGAATTCCACCAGCGACTTTAGATTGTTTTCATGTGAAGGCTGGTTTTCTACTCAGATGTCCTTCTTGGCCTTAAATAACGCCCGTAGTCGCATCTGAGGTATTCCTCCCTAGTTCAAATGTAAAAATGTAACGTGTTATGTTTGATAGTATACAGATTGGCAAAGCTAACAAATAAATACACCTACCTTCACTGCAAGTCGGTACGCTTGCGGAAAAATTTCCGGTTGACATACATTTAATCATCTCCGTACCATTTATTTTAAAGCCTTTCTCACATTGGAATGTTACGTTATTTCCAAATGTAAGACCACTTACATTCATTGTACCATTTGTTGGTGCTTCAACCTCACCACATTCTGTTAAACAATAATGAACACTACACAATAATACAAATTTATGTTTGTCAAAGACTTAACTTTTATCAATAAAACGTCATATTGGCCAAGAAATAAAGAAAGTGGTAGCGCATTTTATCGTAGGTTCAATTCCAATTTAAAGTTAAACAGCATAAAACGTGCGAAAATTGAGTACTGAAACTCGATTAATTGATAAAACAGTTATGTTGATTTTTTATTAAAAAAAACTATAATATAACATTTTCCCAATTTTTGTAGATTATTCTATAAAGACACATATAGAAGTGAAATAAAGTTTAATTTTTTTACGTAGGCCAATTGTAATTTAGATCTGGAAAAAAATGGTAGCCTTCGGACGCTTTGAAAATAAGTTTCTAAAAAAAGTATCATGTGGAAACAGAAAATCATAACTATTTTTACATCATATACAGTTAAGAAAATATTCAGCTGCTTTCACAGGCGAAGTATAGCGGTGTTATGTATAAAGTAAAGACAAAGTAAAGGGTGTAATGTATAAAGTAAAGACAAAGCAAAGCAGTGTAATGTATAAAGTTAAGACAAAGTAAGGCGGTTTAATGTTTAAAGTAAAGACAAAGTAAAGCGGTGTAATGTATAACAGACGCGAATATGCCACTAAAGTTATGAGTAGCCTGACGTCAAACAATTTGCAACTCAAGGTATTTTTATTCTTATGTTATCAACATGTATCAATGTACCTTACATTAAAACCCGGAAACAATTCTATCGGAAATTTGACTTATGGCAGATAGTTTACGAGTACCTGTCCCGGGGTAAAATTTATGATTAAATATTTATGTCTTAAAATGTGGCGAGTTTCTTGCCTTTATTTGTTACAAATGTGTAGCTGAATCACGACAGCCTGTTTATGGTATTTGTGAAAATAAATTTATGTAAATAATGAAACGGATATAATTTAAACGTTTTATAGGTAAACTGTAATGGTTATTACAGCAATTACATTGACATAAATGTAGTAAAATATTTTTACTTTTAAGACAAACATTTAAAAAAAATACAGCTAATTTGTTGATTAAGTAAGTCCTAGATCCATCGAATCAAACATTGCACTACATATTAGATCCTTAACATTACAAAAAGTTCTTATAAAGACGTGTTACCATTTGCTTTAACAAATTTGTACGTTACCAAAATTACAATTTTTCATAAACGACACGAAAAGAAATGCGATCAATACAATTTAGTCACTTACTTCACTGTTCAATTTCAAAGTCTTAACATGAATAAATAAACTTCATTTATCTTGTTCCATTTCATTGTCTGTAATATCTTTTAGCCTGCTGTTTTAATAGCCCACCCCCCTACAACCTCCGCATGCTGATGAACATTCGCTAAGTGTCACAGTTTTTACGGTTGAGTTTAGTAATATTCAAAATTCTCTCTGGTGCAGCCGGAAGATCCGTTTTTAGAGGCACTAGTTTATTTTCACTTTGAATTAATCCCCATTGTAGAGGATCAAGATCGTGAACAATCCATGTTTGAACTTGGTGGTAAACTGTGGTATTTTGCAGCAGTAGTAGGGGTAAAGTTCTCACTTGAACAATGTTTTTACTTTTTGCAGATTTTGCCACAAATCGCGTTTTTTACGAAACTCTTTGTTCCGATTTTGTTGAGTAAGTAAAGCGGTATAATTATAAAATTAAAGACAAGCGGTGTAATGTATTAGTGAATGAAAAGTAAAGCGGGGTAACGTATAAGTGACGCGAAGTAAAGCAGTGTAATGTATCAAAGTAAAGCGGTATAACGTATTACAGTAAGGACAAAGTACAGCGATAAAATGTTAAAGTAAAGACAAAGTAAGGCGATGTAATGTATTCAATTAAAGACAAAGAAAATCGGTATAATGTATAACATTAAGACAAAGTAAAGCGGTGTAATGTATAAGTAAAGCGAAGTAAAGCGGTGAAATGTATTAGGATAAAGACACAGTAAAGCGATGTAATGTGTAAGCGACGCGAAGTAAAGCGGTGAAATGTATAAAATTAAAGACAAAGTGAAGCGGTATCATGTATTAGTGAAGAAAATGTGAAGGGGTGTCATATATTAGTGACGCGAAGTTAAGCGGTGTAATGTATTAATGACGCAAAGCAAGCAGTGCAATGTATTAAAGTAAAGCGGAGTAATGTATTAAAGTAAGAATAAAGTACAGCGATGTAATGTATTAAAGTAAGAACAAAGTACAGCGATGTAATGTATTAAAGTAAAGACAAAGTAAAGCGGTGAAATGTATTTAATTAAAACAAAATAAAGCGGTGTAATGTATTAGTGACGGGAAGTAAATCGGTATAACGTATAAAATAAAAGACAAAGTAAAGCGTATAATGATTTTAAATGAAGACAAAGTAAAGCGGTGTAATATGTTAGTGACGCGAAGTAAAGCGGTGTAATGTAAAAAGTGAAGAAGAATTTTACACACCATTTGGCTTGCACTGGCCATAGGCTTGCCATTTCCCCTCGTCATTACAAAATGATTGACTGTACTTGAAATTGGAAGCCCAGTACCCGTCATAACACTCCAATGTGGCAAAGGCGCCAAATTCTGTACCATTTACTGTAGTATTCAAATATCCATTTGAATATTCCGGAGGATCACCACAGTCTTAAGAAGAAACAAAAAAGAAATTAATTACCAAAGCAGAGTTAATACATGCTGTAATTACTTAAAATGCAAAGTATCTTCTGAATATGCCGAAAATTGATATTGCTAAAGCTTATGCACTTGATAACACTATTGTAGTACCATTTTATGTACAGCAGATCGAAATTTACCGCTAAAATAAATGAATAAATAAATAATTAAATAAATAAAAATGAATTAATTAATAAATATTACAAGAAGGAAAAATATCAAAGAATGAAAGCTTTAAATAACATCCATATATCAAATGCATAACCATTTAAACATGGCAATTTTAAGAATTGATACGCGAAATTTTGGGGGAAATCTGATTCATTTTGCAATGCAACAGAGGGATAATCCAATTTATTTTGTAATGCAACAGCGGGAAAATCCGATTCATTTTGTAATGCAACAGCGGGAAAATCCGATTCGTAAAATCCAATTTGTTTTGTAATGCTTCAGCGTTTAAATCCAATTCATTTTGTAATGCATCAGCGGTAAAATCCAATTCGTTTTGTAATGCAACAGCGAGACAATCCGATTCATTTTGTAATGCAACAGCGGGTAAATCCGATTCATTTTGTAATGCAACAGCGGGTAAATCCGTTTCATTTCGTAATACAACAGCGGATAAATCCGATTCATTATGTAATGCAACAGCGAGACAATCCGATTCATTTTGTAATGCAACAGCGTGAAAATTCGATTCGTTTTGTAATGCAACAGCGGGAAAATCCGATTCATTTTGTATTGCAACAGCGGGAAAATCCGATTCATTTTGTATTGCAACAGCCAGCAGGGGGTAATTTTAAGTTTTTTTTAATAAACTAACCTCCATTTATCCAGCTATGCAGGATTCCAATGCCATTTTGGGCTGCATCGGCATATGTTCCTCCCCCAAATGTGTCAGGTATACATAACAAAGCTCCTAAAAATAAAACAATTAATTTAAAAAAAATAATACCAAATACTATCAACATAATTTTTTATGATATTACAGATTTTTTTATTGTGGACTAATTCCTTTTAAAGCAATAGCAATAACAATCTCACTTAAGTTCACTTATACTTCTTTCATACACGTACAGTTTAGCAATTAAAGGGCTGGTTTTAATCAGATTGAAGCACAAAAGAATGTATATACAAGAAACATATAACTGATGTGTAAAGTATGTAAAATCTAACAACTCTGTTTCACACAGATAATCAATCGCAAATTTACCAAAATCTTCATATGACGTTTTGTAGTCTATGGGTTTATACAGGAACAGTTTAATATCCTCAGTCATCGAAAACAAACTTCCTTTTCCATAAGCGGCCGTAAAACCACCAAATACGCATCTTGGAGCAGTTTTGTTGTTGAAAATGCTATAACCATATCTACTCGCAAGGAACGCTGAAGATGGGAAACGGAAGTCTTTGTTTTGACTGGATGTGTCCATAATCTGTGCCTGTTAATTAGTAAAAGATATATATAAACACCGCAATTATGTATTAGATAATGGACAAATATAAGGACTTTGATTAAAGATCAACTATTATGTATATGATAATGGACTTTTATCACATTAGATGCTGGTTCAAGCAGCCTCTCTGATTCTGTTGAAAAATCAATCAAACAGTCAAACAAACAAACAAACAAACAAACGACAACACATTTATAGCGCGTCAATGACGTTCGTTTCTAAAAATAGATAAAAAAACAGATGGTTCCCTTCATTAATTTCAATATGGAGACCATACCGGTAAATTTAAGGCATCATGAGGTTTCCTTTTTACTTATTTTTTCGTCGGCAAATTTCAATTTCGACCTTATATAATTTTCATAGTGATAAGTACGTTATTGTTTCCTCAGCTCTAAATATTGGTCCTTTGTATAAAATCTGGAATATACACTTATTATTTATCATGCAACTGCTATGGTAACTGCCCGATAACACTTGCCTGATAATTATTTTTGATATCAGGTCAGTAACCTGATATCAATAATAAGCCCCGCCCATTTTTAACGAACTTTTTTCAATTGCTTATATTCTCATTTTCATCAGCATGTGAATCTACAATGTAATCGCATACCCTTACAAATCTTGAATCAAGATGCGATATTTATTTATTTATTATTTCGATTTCAATTACGAATAAATTAGATAGCGAATAGTTTTAACACCAACTACATGAAGTGACGTCATAATTTATATTGCAAATGACATCATCAATGTTCACGTCATACTATACATGTAAACATAACAAACAGGCTTGACGATTTTCTTTGAGAACTTGTAAATGTTTACTTTATTTTGCCGGATAATTATTTAATAAGTGAACAAATTCTTTCGTTTAAAAAAAATAAGACGCATGTTTGTGAAGCTTGTGTTTGATTGCCGATTGGACTTTTGAAATTATCGTGAACTTTTGAATTTGACAATTCAAGACAAAAAATGCTGTAAAGTTTATGTGATTCTAAGGGATTTTTTGGATCAATGTTTAAATGAAAGGTAAGCATTTTATCTTGTTAGGCTTACATTCTGTTGTATCTTTTATCGGAGTCGAAAGAAAAAAATGGCCGCCATTTACAAATTCTAAGTTTCAGGGGCGGAGGAATTTGCTTTCAAGAATTATTTCTTTGAACAAAAATCCCCCTTTTTTACGAAATTCGCTATTTAAAAGTAGATTATTTTGTTATTTTGACAGTTTTTATGTGTTACATGATAAATAGAAAAACATGCTACTGTCTTTTGATATCAATTTTATCAGGCTCGGCTAATATGGGCAGAAAGGGCTCGGCCTTGCTTGCCGAGCCCTTTCTGCCCATATTAGCCGAGCCTGATAAAATTGATATCAAAAGACAGTAGCATGTTATTCTCTATTTGTCCAACTTTTGTCTATGTAAAAATTATTTTTTCTCACCGTAGCCAAGGTAAGTCCGTCACCAAGTTTAAAATTCATTAAAAACTCGGTAGCATACGATATTCTGTCCTCATCCAGCGGGAACATATATGTGAAGAAAGGAGTTATCGTTGATATTTTCCATGCATAAATTTCAAGTAGAGCTTCTGACACGATCATGTCGAAATATGTGTCTTTTCTACCATCAAATATTGCTAAAATAAACATAACCATTCAAATTTTACTGAAATAAACATAATCATTCAAATATTGCTGAAATAAACATAACCATTCAAATATTGCTGAAATAAACATAGCCATTCAAATATCGCTGAAATAAACATAACCATTCAAATATTGCTGAAATAAACATAACCAATCAAATATTGCTGAAATAAAAATAACCATTCAAATATTGCGGAAATAAACATAGCCAATCAAATATTGCTAAAATAAACATAACCATTCAAATATTGCTGAAATAAACAAAAACAATCAAATATCGCTGAAATAAACATAGCCAATCAAATATTGCTGAAATAAACATAACCAATCAAATATTGCTGAAATAAACATAACCATTCAAATATTACTAAAATTAGTATAACCAATCAAATATTGCTGAAATAAACATAACTAATCAAATATTGCTGAAATAAAAATAACCATTTAAATATTACTAAAATTAGCATAACCATTCAAATATTGCTGAAATAAACATTACCAATCAAATATTGCTGAAATAAACATTACCAATCATATATTGCTGAAATAAACACAACCAATCATATATTGCTGAAATAAACAAAACAAATCAAATATTGCTGAAATAAACATAACCAATCAAATATTGCTGAAATAAACATAGCCATTCAAATATTACTGAAATAAACATAACCAATCAAATATTGCTAAAATAAACATAGCCATTCAAATATTTTGCTGAAATAAACATAGCCAATCAAATATTGCTGAAATAAACATAGCCATTCAAATATTTTGCTGAAATAAACATAGCCAATCAAATATTGCGGAAATAATTTCAAATAAACATAACCATTCAAATATCGCTAAAATAAACATAACCAATCAAATATTGCTGAAATAAACATAACCATTCAAACATCGCTGAAATAAACATAACCATTTAAATATTGCCAAATTGATCAAAATTTGCTTAAAAAAAACGTAACTGATCAAATTAATATTGCTGAAATTACCACAACCAATTATATAATGCTGAAATAGCAAAAACCAATTAAATATTGCTGAACTGATCACATATTGCTAAAATAAATGTTGTTGAAATAACCATAACCGATCAATTTCGCTGAAATGACCATTACAGATCAAATATTGCTGCGTTAACTATAACCGATCAAGAAACTAAGTATATAAAGTAATTTCCACATTCCTTATTCCTTTTTCGAATAAGGAATAGGGAACTAGTCCCTGATTCCTTATTCAAATCTATATAAGGAAGAGCAGAACATTTATATAATATTATTTATGGATTATCAGCAAAACTAGAACCACAAGGTTACACTTAAAGAGGAACAAAAGATACAGCAAGTGCAGCATCAATCTATTAAACTAGAACTTCAAAAATCAATCAAAATCATTGCATACAGAACCCGTATCTAAATATTTTGAAAAAAAAAGTTCACGTCAAACAAGGAAAAAGGATCCAGTTCCTAATTAATTATTCAATTTCGAATAAGGAACAGAAGACGATCCGCAAAGAAAGACAGTAGTTGCAACTATTTCTGAAGTATCTGCATAAGAATTGCAAGGATTAACGCATAACGCATCTGCATAAAAATGATTTCAAAAAATGTTCAAGTCGAATAAGGAATAAGGAACCAGTTCCTTATTCCTTATTCTGCTCCAAATAAGGAACAGAAGAAGACACGCAATTATAGACAGCAGTTGCAAATATTTCTTATATATCTGCATAAGAATGGCAAAGATCAAATATGATCAAAATAATAATAAAGAATCTGCATAAAAATATTTTGAATAAAAATGTACAAGTCGAACAAGCAACCATTTCCTTATTCCTTATTCAACTCAATTGCATAAATTTTCTATATAAAACATTTTCGAAAAACGGTTAAGTCAAATCAGGAATAAGGAACCAGTTCCTTATTTCTTATTGATTTCCAAAAAAGGAACTGAAAAAGTTACCAAAAAAAGACGGCAGTTGCAATTATTTCTGCTGAATCTGCATTTCAATAATCGCAATTGGTGTCTTTCTTCGGTCACGATCGTAACAAATCGGTCATTTCCGGAAAGTTATTTTTTTACAATTTACGGTATTCAATAATTTTTAATCGTTTTTAATCGGAATTTTGTGCATAGCGATAAAGGATGTGTAATTGTAAATATTCTACTGCCTAAGATTAAAAAAAAAATGTTTGGCAATAATTGCTTTGCTACGATATTGACCAATGTTAGAATTGTTTTGGCGGGGAACGCATTGCAGTAAGACTACTTTAAATGATTTCACACTGCTTAAGAAATATAAATCATTAGAAAACAAACATAATTGTTATATAAATAAATGCATGCATATATCTTTTTACCTCCCTTCGTTGAGGAGTCCACCCATGCGCGAATCTTTGAGTCACTGTAACCGTAAACCAAACCGGTGTTTGTTTCGTTTTCATAGTCGTAAAATACATTAAGTGCTGATCCTTTAATTTAATAAAAGAAAGCAATTCAAAATACATTTATATAACAAAAAGCATTTAACTTACTATATAGCAATGGACAGTCGGTAATACAACATATTACGATTTACCTCATATTACAATTTGAGTGAAAAATAATTTTATCAATTCGTTTTGAAATATTACATGCACCTTTAAATCACTTGTAGCGAAAAAAAGGCTATTGGTTAGATAAAATCATTTTTATGTTGTGCTTTTTCATTTTTTATTTAAAACAACATATTGTGCTTTTCTATCTTATATCTAAAAAACATATTGTGCTGACTTATTTTTTATTTAAAACACTATGTTGTGCTTTTTTATATTCAAGACAGCATACCTATTCCATCTGCGTAGAAAGTTGTACCATTATACTCCATTTTAGCCCTAACAACAACAATACCGGGGTATTCTCCTAGACCATGCTCTAGTTCATAAAACGAGTCGCTGGCTGAAATGGAACAAAAGGAGTATACATACAGATCTACTAGATCTATTCAAGTCGTATTAAAGTCGCTAGGTAACCAGAATTTGTTAATAAAAGACAGTTTTTTTTCTCAATTTGGACGAGGTGTATACTGAATGCTTAAAACAAACTTTTTAAATTAATTTATCAATACAAGGAGTTTCCACCCGTATAAAAATTGATTTTAAATCTAACATTCCCCAAACAGATAGGACAGACATCAAGTACATTATTATATGCACAAAATTAGATAACTGTTTACAATATGCGACAAATATGACGTCAATAAACAAATTGACGTCATAAAAATACAGTTCAACATAATTTTATCAATTATTCGTATATGTTAGTGTTCATCCGTGCTGTTTTACAGAAATTAGAAAATTCAACGGGAGCGATAGCTTATTACACCTAATACAAAATTAGTGTTTAATTGTTAATGTCATTTTTTTATTTATTTATTTTTTTTTTTTTTTGGGGGGGGGGGGGAATGTTACTTTGCTCATTTATAAACAATTCTTGTAAAAAAGACAAAAATATGCCGTATTAAATTTATAATAATAATGTTAAAATAAAATTGCCTTAGATTTATATTGAAACCATTATATTTCTTTTAAAGAGATGTCGATTCTTGTCTGAGAGTCTTTCTGTTACACTTACAGGGGCGTAGCCAGCTTTTTTAACTGGTAGGCCCATAGAAGGGGGTCTAGGGGCTTAGCCCCCAGCTCGTTTAAAAAGAGCAAACTGCGCGTTCCAGAGTATTTTCAAGGAAAATTATCAAAACAACAATCTAAACTACGAATTTGATTAGGTGTAAACTTTAGGCTATTGAGGACGGTAAATCATGCATAAGCTTAAAACACAATTGATTTTACCATACGGCTTGAACCCACTACCGTCCCCACCCTGCCTGATTTTATTGTATTTTTGGGACTTTTGAAAATGTCAATTTATTGACCACTTGTAGGCCCGGGCTACGCCACTGACTTATGTATCCTCATTGTCGGATACCCACGGCCGAACCATTAACATTTATCAGCCGTGGGATTTTTTGCCGATATCCAATCGATTAGAGGTGTGGCAAAGGCAGCTATTTCATTGGCTGCCTCACAATTTCATGAGGCGATTAAAACCAATCAAAACGCTCGTTCTGTACGACGCTCGGTATTACAGACAATATGAAAAATTCAACATCGAAAAATTAAACGATTTCCAGCAAGAAAGTATAGATAATTTACTTTTACAGCGTGATGTTTTCCTTTCTGATTGATATTTGCTTGCAGAAGAACTGATTCGGCGATAGTTTTTGCCATTGATTTTTTTTAGCAAGACACGTACAACAGTTTCTAACCGTGGGCGCTGCGATTTTGTTTCTCATTGTTTTTTACCTCCGCTGTTGAAGAATATAGATTTGTTAAACACGATGTAATTGGTAGATATTTTACGCACCTGTTGCCGTATATCGACGCAAATCGATTCATTTTACCCACGGTTGATTGCATGTTATGTGACATGTTTATCAATCGTGGGTATCCGACGATGATGTATCCTTAACAAAATGATATATATAAATTTGTTGATTTGAAATATCACTTATGAATATTTAAAATGGTTAAATAACAGTACATCTTGAGTATATATACGTAATGTTTTATATATAACATAACATACCAGCTACGGATGAATACTAACATACTTAGTGTCAAGCTTTATTTGGCCTTATTATTGTTCAGTTAATTACGTCACTACGCAGTTCTATGAAGTACTTTGAAAAATAGAAGACCTCTATGCAATTGTGTACACCGGTCGTACTGACGTTATTTACTGTCATTTGAGACCAGCTAGTGCGTATACAATGACCATGAACAGATTTCGATATAGTACCGACTTTTGTTCTTCTATATAAATTAACACACATTATTTTGAAGATAAGCTAGACACTAATTAGCATGTAAGAATATAAATAGATAATAATTGTTCGTGCACTATGTATATGTTAGTGTTCATCCGTGCTGTTCAACAGAAATAAGAAACTTCGACTGGAGCGATAGCGACAGGAGTCAGAATGTTTCAAATTTCTGAAGAACAGCTACGGATGAACACTAATATATTGAGTGTCAAGCTTTATTTGGCTCTTGATTACGTCACTACGCGGTTTTATGAAACACTATGAAAAATAGAAGGCGACTATGAACGGATTTGAATATAGTTTCGACTTTTTTCTTTTATGAAGATTAACACACATATTTTTTTAAGATATACAGCGTTTTCATTGGATGACAAATAAAGCTGGACACTAAAGTATAATAATGCACGGTTTGCCATTCAGATGATTTGTAATTATTCTATCAGGCCTATTGGCCCTCGAGATTATCATACCGAACCGTTATTCTACAAAAAAGCACTCAAAGTTGATATCACTCATTGATACGTATTTTCCAAGGCAACATACTGCATGTACTGTAATTTAGTGTCCAACTTTATTTGTCATCCAGTGGAAACGCTGCATTTCTTCAAAATTACGAGATAGTATAATTTTCATAGAAGAACAAAAGTCGATACTATATCAAATTCTGTTCATAGTCGCTTCTATTTTTCATAGTGATTCAAAGAACCACGTTTGTAAAAATAGTCGTTTGCATAAATTTGCACAGGCGCTTTCGTGAATATTAATTAAGTAAAAATGACGTTAAAAGGTCAACCTACATGAATTTTGTATTTGTGGATAGAGGATAAACATGTACACGCAGTTCAGATTTAAAAAGATACTGCACGTGTAAATGTAAAAACCAATACAAAATGTCAATCAATATTTTTTATTACGACTGTAGGAAAAGGTCTTAATTAATTTGTGTCTTAGAGGCAAGTCACAGTGTCCAGTATACATGTATAAATCATATCAGAATATAAGCTACTGAGTAGAGTCAATACTCTAACTCATAAAAAAAGTGAATATTAATGAGGCCAAAAAAAGTTTGACACTATATATGTAAGTGTTCATCCGTAGCTGTTCTACAGAAATTAGAAACATACTCCGGTCGCTGTCGCTCCCGTCGAAGCTTCTAATTTCTGTAGAACAGCACGGATGACCACTAACATAAACGTAAAGATAGAACTGAATGGAAATGACCTTTAAAAGTGTTAGCTCTCAGTGTTTTCGTGTTGTCCAGTATATCTGGTTCCGGAAGTGATTCGGCCTTCCATGCCCGAACTCGGACATATCCAAAGCTTCCCCACCAGTATTCGTCATCGTCATCGTCATAGCCATAGCCATACCACTTGAAAAAACCTTGTTAAATGAAGGAATTTATTTCAATATCTACGCCTTTCTTCATAAAAAATCGTTGAATGAAAATATATAATTTTTATTTAAAAAATGCTTGCATACAATGACATAATACTTTCTTGTGGCTTTACTACTAATCTTGAACAAGAGCGATCACATGTGTCGCCTCGTGATAGCAATATACATGTTGCAGTAACTGTGAAGCAGGAAACAGAAAACAGGGCCAAACGTGTTTTTTTATTCAAGGGGCATAACTCAGCATAAGAGGAGAAGACAAAACAAATTTTAGAAATAAAAAATCATAAACGGACCATAACTCTGACAAAAATCATAAAAAGCAAAAATGCAGATAATATGCACAACATATTTTGTGACGAACGGACGCTTAGACAGACGGACGGACGTTCTTTTTACGTTAACATTATGTTTTATGTTGTTGTTTTTTTTTTAAACTTATTTGATCTCCTAAACCCCATAAGCACAAGTCTGTACGGAATGAACATGGCTATTCACCCGCTAATGTCACTTGAGTCTGTACGGGCAGATGGACAGACAGACGTCGTAGAAGTGATCCCTATATGTCGCCATTATTCTGTAGAGGCGACACAAAAATGGAACATTATAAGATGTATATACATGTATGTGTCCCTAAATGAACCTGTCGTGTTACGGTTAGTGAGCGACATTTTTATTATCAGCATATACGCAGTTGCTAGGCAATTACATTTATAAGTACATGCACTTGATTGTGCAAAATATTATAAATATTATAAACATAAAACATAATACATTATATCAATCAAACATATAAAAGATCTGAAAATAATTATACTTGAGGATAAGTTGTTGTTTTGTGTGTGTGTTTTTTTGGGGTTTATTTTGTTTGCGTGTGTGTTTTTTTTATATTTTCATGTGCATGAGTACAATGACACGATCGTAGACATTATTGGTTAGCAGGTTATTTATGACAAACTTTATCACTCTTGGGTAACATTAACTCTGTGAACTGCTCACTAGAAAATGTAATGAGTTCTAAACTGTTTTGTTCTGAACAAAACTGAAATATCTGATCAATTTTACTACATGTAGAAAGCTAAAGATGTACAACAGTTCAATTAGAAAATATTGATAGCTGCTACACAGTCGGCTTGTAAACATTAAATACACATGTTTTGAATTCACACAAAGTAGGTACGTTAGGTTTTAAATTATTCACAGGATTGGTGGTCACATAAAGAATATATAACGTTAGTATACAAAAAAAAATAAATAAAAAAAAAATAAAATAAAAAAAAACTGGCGTTGTTTTCTTAAAAAAGACCAACGCAGCTTCCCATACATAGTTACTTTATTATTTTATTTAGACATTTATTAGACATTATTCAACAAGAATTTCATAGATTTCAATAAATTGCTGTGATAAAGATAATATATCTTTAAAGAACTATCCTGTACATTGTATTTAATAACTATCCTTTACATTTTATTTTATAATGACGGGAACTATGCTTTACATTTTACTTTTAAATGTGAAGTATCCTTAAAATTTTGTTTTAAATTTACAAGAAATCTGTTTTACACAATTGGATAACCATAATGATAGCAGTCCGTAATTTAAAATTACTAATGAAAACTCCCTTTACTCATTTACTAGTATTCAGTTCTATTATGTATATTTAACAGGAAGTCTGTTTCAAGAAGGCCTCCGGTCGAAAAATGACAAAATATAGATTAGGAAAGAAGACAAAATGGTTAAGATGGAACAATACAGACTAAAAATTGGATTGAACAGACCAAGTATAGGAGAGTATTTTTAATCTTACCACTTGAGAAAAGGCCGTCATCACTCCTATCTCCAATAGGTCTGAAGGCGGATACATTGACAAAATTTTCATCATAGATATATACAACTGTACTTTCTCTTCGGTGAAGACTTGCAGGCGACTGACCTTGATAAAAAACTAGAAATCTGTCATCATGCCCAATTGCCCCCGCATGCAGCCAAAATTTCAGATGTTATGATAATTATTTAGTTCCAAATTTGTTTGCACAAATTATTTTTTTTCATTTTAAGTTCAAAGCCCTGAAAACTATTCAATGTTAACACAAACCATTTTTATACAAAGTTCAAGCCACTGAAACTATTCAGTGTTAACATTTTGTAAATTGCATATTGCATATTTGTAGCCAAAATAATGGCTGCATACATTTCCACAAAAGTATGAGTGCTGAAACTGAAAGTTCAAAATTTTTTCAACATTCAAGAAAGATAACTTTGTCCAGAATCATTAAACCACAATCAATTTCAAACGTGTACTCCTTATTTCTAAGATGTATTTATATGTCAAATTTGTGTTGAATGTGTCCAACCATTGAGAAGATAATGAACGGAAACTTAAAATTTCAGATTTTTTTTTCAAAGTTCAAAAGGGATAACTCTGTCAGCTATCATCAAACCATGACCAAATTCGAAATTGACCAATGCATTCTCATGACATAGAGGATAATTGTTTGTTTGTGTGTAAGATGAAATTTTATTCCATCGAGTGGGCTTTTAAAACAGTATTCTCACGAGTGGCGTAGCCACGAGTGAGAATAATGTTTTGAAAGTTCACGAGATGAAATAAAATTACATCTTACACAACAAACAAACAAATTTTCTTTTTATTTTATGCTTAAAAACAAGTTAAAACGAAATTTCTGTAATATTAACGTTTACTTAATATTAAAATCTGTTTTCCCCATTGAGAGCCCCATTTAGTCGGAATTTCTCATTAAAAACAAGAAGTCTTGAGCTGAAAAATAAGTCCGACAATCGACGTTAAATGACGGTAATATTAATCATTTTATTAAAAAAATATGAATGATCGCTCGTTTTAATAATAAAAACATACAATTCTTGTAGGAGAAAAAGTTCAACCATCCATCCATATTTCTGTTACTTACTGCGAATTTATATTAGACCTGGCTTTGTAAAATGTAAGCGGCAGCCATTTTTTAAAGTTGTGTATTTCAAGGGAGGAAAATAATTGTGTTTGATTCAGAGGAATATCATTTGGATTTGTTAGTCATACACCTTTTTAAAAGAAAGAAAACTTATTTGAGGATTGCAGCAGACAAAAAATAAGTGTTGACAGATGTGAAAACATTAAAAAAGCAGCTATGAAAATGGAAAACTTGGAAGCTTGCTCAAGAACGCTGGGTTGTTTTAACTTGTTCTTCGAGTGATGGCTGTGACATTGCTTTTCAATTTTTCATAAAGCATACGGCAGTTATTGCTCGTAGAATACTTTAATATGCCCAAATGTCATCAAGAGCAGTTTTGCATGTGGAAGAAATGTATTTTGCAGACTGTAAAAATGAAAACAAAAAAATTAGAGACGAAATTTGGTGATTGGAATTTGATTGAATAGAAGTAAGTTTTCTTCTTTTTATTACTTTTGACATTTAATTTATTTATCAATTTCAGCTTTGCTTTTTCTTTAAACAGCCTGACATTGTCAGAATTGTCAGCAAAAATAAAATTGAGGTACCACATGGTGAAAATCGTAAAAAACTAGTTTCGTCATTGAAAAGTGTGAAATTATATTTTGATAATTTTCACTGTGAAATTTTCAAATATAATTTTCACGGATAAATCAGTTTCCACTGAAAAGCATAAAATAAATATCCATATCTTTAATTTGAGTTAAATATGTACAACTGTTGGGGAGATAATGAATGGAAACTGAAATTTTCCTCATTTTTCAAAGTTAAAGGGGCACAACTCTAACACAATCATCGAACCATGACAAATTCGAACTTGGCCTGCGCATTCCTTTAACTTATCCATATGTCAAATTTGAGTTGAATGTGTAATACTGTTGGAGAGATAATAAACGAAAACTGAAAATTTCATATAATTTTCAAAGTGAAAGGGGAAAAAATCTGCCAAAAATCATTAAACTATAACCAAATTCAAACTTGACCTGCGCATTTCTTTGACATATCCATATGTCAAATTTGAGTTGAATATGGGGACTTAAATGAACAGAAACTGAAAATTTCAGATTATTTTTTTAAAGTCAAAGGGGCATTTATCTGCAAAAATCATTTAACCATGACCAAATTCGAACTTGGCCTGGGCATTCCTTTAACGCATCCATATGTCAAATTTGAATGTGTAATTATAATACTATTAGGAGATAATCAACAGAAACTGAAAATTTCATATAATTTTCAAAGTGAAAGTGGCATAACTATGCCAAAAATCAGTGAACCATAACCAAATTCAAACTTGACCTGTATTGTCTCATGACATATCCATTTGTCAAGTTTCAGTTGAATGTGTAATACAGCTGGGGAGATAATGAGCTGATACTGAAAATTTCATATTATTTTCAAAGTAAAAGGGGCATAACTCTGCCAAAAATCTCGAACCATGACAAAAGTTGTCCTTGACCTGTATTTTTTCATGATATATCCATATGCAAAATTTGAGTTGAATGTGTGCAACCGTTACTTAGATAATGAACAGAAACTGATGATGACGGAATGACAGAATGATGGAAGGACGGAATGACGGAACAGGGCAACACTATATTCCTCTGACATTATATGGCGGGAGCATAAAAAGAAAGTCTAAAATTGACAATCAAAGCACATAAAGTTAAAACCATATTAAGGGCCGGGCTTTGCAAAATTGTTTATAAATAAGCGTAAATGAACAATATCGTAAACTGTTGTTTGTTGGGTGCAAAACGATTTATTATAACTATAGTTAACATCGATTGAAAAATCTGTGACATTAGAGATGAATAATAAATATAAGATGAACAATTTAAGAAAAAATATATTCTATTTAAGCCAAAGTACAATTACCAATGCAAAATATTTGCATGTGTACCTTTCCACGTAATGAATTTGCGATACAATAATTATATTCTAATTAAATCATTAAAATTCAAACGATTACTCAAAAAAATACGCTGTTTCCAAAGTCATATGATATTCAAAGTGACGTTTTGATAAACTGACGTCATCGGGTGGTTACCCATGGACGGCACGTGTATGAAGACAACAATTTAAGCTAGTACAATAAACACGGGGAATTTTCAATTTAAAGCTTATCCACTGCTTATTGTACGTGTTTTTATTTTACGTAAGACGGGACGTTGAAATTGTTCATATTTTCAGCTTTGATTAAAGTATGTAGGTATAAGAAAATATTGCCAGAATATATTGTTGCTTACCAATAGCATGAAATATAAAGTTATCAACTTCAACCTGTACATCAACTATCAACGGTACTGTCCCCAGGCCATGTTCGAACTCGAGGTGCCACTTGGAACCGGTCCTTTGAAATATTGTCCAGTCACTATCATAATCAGCTGATGGTAAATAGATTCCTTTGGCTGTAATGAAAGAAGAAACGACTGCTGATAAATGAAGATTTTTGGACGAAGAAAAAGAAAAGAAAAAAGTAAAATATGTATAAAGTTATATTTTATTGTAGATGTGTGTATACGTAGAGTTAACCTAATGGCTATAATTTAAATTAGACTGTGAAAAATGTGGATCAAATTGTATATATATTAACTTTAGATGTTTAATTTTTTGCAAGACCACGATCTTTTCCTTTTTATTCTTTACTTTGATGGTACATGTTATTGACCTAAATATGAATGTATACAAATATAAAGGTTGTCCAAGTAAGATAATGTCCCTCGGTGCCGAGTTCGAAACAATCGCACATGTTCCTCGTACCAGGTTGAATGTAAAATAAATCTGTATGTATATGAATTTATTCATTTAGATAGACAACAACATTTATAACTCCCCCTCCCTAGCACCTGCTTACGCCGTATTCATTAATGTAGGATTAAACGATTTGAATTAATGAGCTCAAATGATCAGAAAGATTCACTATAGTAACCACAATGAGATGAAGTAAGGATCACGGTTACTGCTTTGAGGGTATTTTAACCAGTAACTGCGAATAAGTATTTTTTTGCTTTTTAAAGGTATGGTTTCACATTTATGATTTTCAATGATTTGTACAATTTATTTACACGAATAAAATAACAACCTTTGCATCTCCCATTTTCAATCTTGTAACCATCGTTACACGTGCACTTATATCTTTGTTTATCCGGGGTCAAAGTACAAGTCGCATGTTGATCCCGGCATCTGTCCACGGCAGGATTGCAATCCGAGTCTACTGCCTTTTCTGAAATATGATTATAACTATTCTCTTAAACAAAATAAAGAATATAATTATTTACCAACGTCTACCTGTCTAGCGGTGTATTGCAAGTATTACGTTTAAAAATATTTCTTGAAAAATTCCTCGAAGTGACGTCATAATTGCACCGTCAACATAAATAGAATTTGTTGTTTGTAATATTAAATGTATATTAAATGTGCATAATAGCGTCATTTGCACTTTATAAGTATCACTGGTAAGAGTTGAACAAAATTATTGAAAGAATAAAAAAATAGATCATAATCACTTTATTCAGCTTATATGAATCATGGTTTAAAAGCCAAATGCTATCAGTTTTCTTTCTCAAACACATTATATTTTAAAACTTTTGGTAATTATCATGTAACAATTTTTAAAAAGACAAAACCAAAACCTCATTTGCCATATATACATGATTAACTATCATTTGCTGACCTTGTTATGTTGGCCATTGGTTTAATTTTAGTGATCGAAGTCAATTTACTTTTGTTTATATTTTGCTACCTTTACGACACATCACTGTATGCTCAGTGCTACTTTTTTCTGGTGTTAGATGCCTACCATGTTGTGAAACAATAAAATATATTATCAAAACATTTCTAGACACATTTTTGACATGTCTAAAAAATAAATATATATATATAGGGATTTCTGAGACACACTGTGCCTTTAAAATATTTTAAACATAAATGGGAGCTATTCACACGATCAAAATGATATGTTTCTGAAAAATAAAAATGTAAGATGAAAAATGTTAAACACGCATAAACTATACCAATCTGGTTGGCTTAAACATATTTATTATAGCTCGATTGCAAAACAAGTTCTTATATATTTTTTTTTATATATTATCTGATATGTTTATATATCACTTTCCAGTTCGCTTCCTGGAACCAACAAGTACTGGTGTCATATGAAGAAACATGGACGTGCATTATAGGGATCAATTTTCTTTTGATTACGCAAGCGACTAAATTTTCTGAATTTACATGAGTAAATTTGTCTAGTACCAGCTCGCCAGAAAGCTGAGAGAAGTTTTCGAGTTCCAAACGATTTGTTGAAAATAGTCATGCAGTCAAACTTAACATTTTTTTGGATTTTGATGAAGAATGTTTGTGTTTCGCTGACTCAGAAGGTCTTTCTGGAGAGGTAACTTGATTGGATAAGCTACAAGAAACTGTTACAATTGTTGGTACCACGGTCTGCGTGGCCAACATGGAGCAATTGGAAGAATTCGACAATTGTACATTGTCATGTGCTGTAATAGTCTGGGAATTAGAGCTATCAGTGGAAAAGCACATGCAAAGATGTTTTCCCATGATATTGTCAGTGCATCTATTGCATATACCTGAGGACATTGACTCAATGAACAACTAGAAATGTGTCATCATGCCACGGATGCCCCCGCATGCAGCCAAATTTTCAGATGTTATAATATTTAGTTCCAAATTTGTTTGCACAAATTATTTTTTTCATTTTAAGTCCTTAAAACTTTTCAATGTTAACACAAACCATTTTCATACAATGTTCAAGGCAAATTATTCAGCCTTAACCTTTTGAAAACAGCATATTGCATATTTGTAGCCAAAATAATGGCTACATACATTTCCACAAAAGCATGAGTGCTGAAACTGAAAGTTTAAAATTTTACCAACATTCAGGAATGAAAAGTTTGTCCAAAATCATTGAGCCACTACCAAATTCAAACTTAAACTGATTATTCCTAAGATGTATCTATATTATTTTCAAAGTGAAAGGGACATAACTCTGCCAAAACAATCATCGAACCATGACCAAATTCGAACTTGACCTGTATTTTCTCATGGCATATCCATATGTCAAGTTTGAGTTGAATGTGTTGTACCGTTGGGGAGATAATGAACAAAAACTGAAAATTTCATATTATTTTCAAAGTAAAAGGGGCATAACTCTGCTAAAAATCATCGAACAATGACCAAATTTGAACTTGACCTTTTTTTATGACAAATCCATATGTCAAGTTTGAGTTGAATGTGTTGTACCGTTGGGAAGATAATGAACGGAAACTGAAAATTACATATTATTTTCAAAGTAGAAGGGGCATAACTCTGCAAAAAATCATCGAACCACGACCAAATTCGAACTTGACCTGTATTTTCTCATGACATAGCCATATGTCAAATTTGAGTTGAATGTGTGCAACTGGTACTAAGATAATGAACGGAAACTGATGATGACGGAATGACAAAATGACGGAAGGACGGAACAGGGTAACACTATATGCCCCGGCCATTACATGGCGGGGGCATAAAAAACTGGTAGTTTGTGGTTGTGAACTGATGCAAAAAGATCTATTGAGGGGTGACCTAGTTTCAAGAATATTGCATTCAGAACTGATTGTTTGAGTGTCCATTCTGTTTGTTTTATCACTGTTCGTAATAACTGGCCTGCAAGCACGTTTAACTTTCCTATCACACGGGCAGCTCTGACAATAGTTTTGTATTGAAGTAACATTTGCCATAAATCCCAGGTTTTCTGATTCAGAATTAGGGATTTTGTTCCGCCCTACTTGTTTATAAACTGTACAACTGTGGTGTTGTCTGACCGTATTAGAACATGTTTGTTCCTGAGATATGGAAGAAAATATTTGAGTGCGGTGAACTGCTTCCATTTCTAAACAATTGATATGTTGAACTTTTTCTGTTTCTGTCCAATGACCTTGAACTATTTGATTTCCCAGATGACCACCCCAAAGTTTCAGTGACGCATATGTTGTTACTGTGATTGAACACTCTATTTCAAAATGTTCACAGGATTTAGCAACCAATTTAAATGTGGAACAAGGCTTTGAGGAAATGGTATTGTCATATTTAAATATTGATTGCATGATTTCCACAATTGTAACAGATGGATTTGAATCTGTCTCATAAACAATCGTGCATTGGGAATTATCTGAATACATGATGCTATCAGACCAAGCAAGTGAAGATGATCTCTTGCAGTACAGTGTAATTCTTGATTTACTGGAACCAACAAATACTGGTGTCATATGAAGAAACATGGTCGTGACCCGAGTTGGGCTTGAAATCCATGATCTTTGGTTTGATTGGCAGACACCTTAACCACTAGGCCAACGCTCCGCTAACCAATCTGGTTAAAACTCATTTTTTGATTGTTTTGTTGAACGTACGAAAATAAAAACTAACGCCACAAAATTAAAAGTATATGATTCAAAGCATTCGTTCATGTAAGTGTAAACGTAAGATGAATTTGAAATGATAACTAGTGTACGTGTATAACCTTTTCGACAAATACCTCTGCTGCTGCTTATGAGGTAATTTCAAATAAAAATAAGCGAAACAAACAAAATAACATATGATTTCATTACATGCTAAAGAATATTTAGTCGTACCCTTTGGTATACAGCTTGGTATATTCTCCCAGTATCCAAACTTATGACACGTTATATTATACCGTTCATAGTCGTAACCGTAATATTTCTTCTTCTGCTTGATATCATACCCCTCGTCACAACGTACTATTGCGTGCGATCCCGTTGACGTTCCGTTCAATGACGTGTTGGCAAATCCATTCGGAATGACGGGCTCTGGGCAGCCAGCGTTCTCTGTTAGTAACCATTTTCATAAAATCATTTACAGGAAGGTGAGAAATTATTCTTTTATAATCAGCACAATTTAAAACCTCTACTTTATTATATTTAAAGTAGATACTGCACTAGAAAAACAAGTATGGAGCATTGCTGACCGAGACGTTAGACAAGCTGACGTGATAAAACCAGTGGGTTTAGCTCACTACATTGTTGCAGTACCTATAGACGCTTGTAGAAATCATGATCATAAAGTTGAAAAATATCGTTTTCTTCGCTTATTCTTATATTTTTCATTCATAATTGTATAGAAATTGGTGTGTATGGATGAATAAGACGTTTTAAAGTTCAATCCGTAACGTTAAAAAACATTTTTTTTTGCATTTTATCATTCTTGAAAGTAGCTTGTCCGGTATATACCGGGATACGGTATTTAATGTGGTGCTCCAAGTCTCACTCATAACCAGTATGGCTAGAATACAGCCAGCGTTAAAGAAAGGTCCGATATTCGACTCCGGTTAGGATCACATTAAAGTCTACATAGATGTATGTCTTTAATGTGTTCTAAACCACTTTAAAATGTGACCTTAATGATGACCCTACCGATCAAAAAAAAAAGTATCAAGAAAGACTAAGAAATAACAAAACAAAAATAATAACTGATAGATAAAATCATTTTTTCTACCTCATTAACAAAGACCAAATAACCCATTCGCAACATTCGCTCCAGGTGTTTTTTTAAAGTGTGTAAAGCAATGTATCTGGTGCAAATATAATTGTTTGTATTCTAACAAAGAATACTTGCAAAATGATTGTATGTCAAAAGACATGAAAATGGCAATAAATTGACTTAAAGCGAGTGGCGCATTCAAAAAGTCATTGCTAAACGGATAAAACCCTGTTAAATGAGCATACTATTTTGTACCCGAATATTTAATTCTGTTTACATACATTAAGCATGTGTGTTAAATAACAGAGACATTCTATGCTACAACTTTTTTGGTACTCAACCATATAATTAATGGAACCAATATAGTTATATATTGTTGATTAATTTTATAAAATTATTTTATAAGATATAAATTGATACCCTAATAAATAATAAATAATACCCTGATAAAAAGACGGGCTTGTGTGTGATATAAAACACACATTTTAAGAATATTTCGGATTTTCGGTCCATACCTTAACATTACTGACCAGCAAAATTTCCTGTACATGTATTGTTACTCTGTAAATACTGTAATGCTCTTCATTTTTGGAGGAAATAAAAGTATATGGTACAAACATTAAGAACACATTTACTTTGCTAAATTTTCCAGGCTTTCAATTTCTCTTAACATGGATTTTGTTATCAGACGAAACAAAAGATTATATCTAACTTACAGTTTAAAGTATATGTATGGACATTTTGTAGATCTGTGGTTTGATAATTTTCTTCATGAAACTAACCTTCAAATATCAAACTTAATATGTAAACCGATTCACTATGAGATACTTCTGCGTTCTTTCCATCGCCAAATGATTCTGCTATAAATATTTCAGAACATGTATGCACAAATTTTGGCTGCCAGAAATTGAATTTGTATCCCAATTCATACGCATAAGAGAGGCCACCAACTGATACGGGGCTGACAGTATTTCCGGTTTCCAGTGGTTCTGGGTACCCAAGATACATTCCGGCCGGAAACCGAAAACCGGAATTAGGTTTCTCTGGTGTCTCGGCAAGTACCTGTAAATATTTTTCAATTGTTAAACATTATTCTAACAAGTTTAATTTAACATGTTTTAAAGACTATCGTTGCTAGATTCAAATCCAACTTATCATCTACATTTACAAAGATAAAAAGATCAAGCATGTACGTTATGTGCTTTTTTGGAATACAGGTCAACAATCAATCACCTAGAAAAGCACGATAAAAATCAGAAGTATGGTTTTGTTGCATCTACAATTTATTCTTATGCCATGAATCAAAAGTACGGTGTCCTTATATTGTCAACCGCAACACTGTCTCTGTCGCGCTAAAATGTTGACTCACGAAAACGCGGAGTAACTTTGCAATAATCAGAAGTGATGTGCGAACACTGCGAAAAGCGCGAAAAGTCAAATTTACGAACAACAATAGGTCGTATTATCCGCACATTTACGATTAACCTGACTGTCGAATTACATTGTGGCGTTTCGCATTATTTATCGCCAAATCACATTTACGCAATGTCACTTTTCATTGTCGTGTTTCGACATCTAAGCATGATGGACGATATTACAAAAAGACATAACAAAAACACCGCATGAAGGTCTTTCAGTCCGATTAATCATCAAATAAAAAATAGATAAAATTAAAATACATTAATAAAGTCAAAAGAAAAATATTTACAGAAACACGAATCAGTGAATATTCTAATTCGTAGTCAATGTCTAAATTCCACTTGCTGGGCAGTCTGGTCAACCTATTCCAGGGCAAACTGGCCATATATTGAGTAACAACACGTGGGTTGTGAAACGGTGTAATGGTAGGACATTTCCAGGCAAAAATCTCCGCCTCACCTTCAGACATCACTATATCAAACCATGTGTGTTTTCTTCCATCAAATATTGCTAGAAAACAGTTTACATAAATTGTATACATATAACACTCATTCTCACTTAGGTACGACATTTCATAAATTCTAGTACTGAACAAGAGCAGTCACAGAAAGAGAAAAATGCCCCCGAAGGATTCTAGTTATAAACTACCTATTGCATGCTATGTGTGGTGGTAAAAATTGACAAAGTTCGAACTCCAGCAGTGACCTTTAATACAAAGAAACCTGGGTCTTGTTCACAACACATTGTCCATCTATGGTGACTTTATTTTTTTTAAAATAAAAAAATGAAACTTTCATGTATATGGAAGTTACAGAGCAGACACAAAAACCATCATTTATATGTAAATAACATAAATATTGAAAAAGTTTAAATCCTAGCAGTGACCTTGAACTAAAGCGTAGGAACACTGATCCTTTCATGCATATTAGTTTCAGAGCAGACCACAGGTAAAAGTCGCGTAGCCATGACTTGCACTATACCCCCGTCTCCCTCTACAACCCAAAATCCTTAAACATCATCCAAACATCGTAAGTATTGACAAAAATAAATTTTATGAAAAAAATAAGACTAAAAAATTTTAAAAAGGTATTTTACTCTACTTTCATTTTGCATAGAAATATCACAAGCATCTCAATTATCAGCGCATATATCCATCAATTTTTCACCGTTCTTAACAATCCTGGTGTCAAACCTTAGATAAATGAATACTCTTTAAGAAAACAACACTGTCACTTTCGCTAATTAAACGTAGCAAGTAATATTGAAGTAATATTGAAGCCCAAACTGTCAACAAATGAAATTCGGAAGAGATCTGATTGCACTGCTTTGGTTTAACTCTCACGAGTAAAACACACTAAATTAACAGTGAATGAATATTTCTTTGTATTGCATATTTAAATATGATGAATTTAATTATTATTTGTAATAATTGTTCATTCAAAGCATAATATGAAACTATAACGCACCTTTTTTCCTATATGTCAAATTCTCAATCAAAAATAAAGTAAAATTGGGCAGCAGATTGTTTTCAAATAGAGTATTTTCATTGGTCACATGAAAACTTCGGACCAATGAAAATACTCCATACAAAAGCAAAGGGAAACAAATCTGATGTGCCATTTTACTGTTTGAACCTCCACAGTGACCTTGACCTTAGTTGTAGAAACCTGAGTCTTGTTCGTGGCACACTATTTATCTATGGTTATTTAATATGTGAAGGAAAAATTAAAATCCTTTCTTGCATACTGAAGTTTCAGAGCGGACACGACCACCACTATATATATCTATTTAACGTGTTTTAACCTACACAGTGACCTTGAACTTAGTTTTAGAAACCCGAGTCTTGTTCGTGGCACATCATATATCTTAGACTATGGTTATTTAATATGTGAAAGAAAAATTAAAATCCTTCCATGCATTCTGAAGTTTCAGAGCGGACCTTGACCTTAGTGGTAGAAACCCGAGTCTTGTTCGCGACACACCATACAGCTATATTTATTTCATATGTGAAAGAAAAATTATAATCCTTCTATGCATACTGAAGTTTCAGGGCGGACACGACCACCACCATCTATATTTATATTACATAAAAATGACAAAGTTTGAACCTCCACAGTGACCTTGACCTTAGTGGTAGAAACCCGAGTCTTGTTCGCGACACACCATACATCTATATTTATTTCATATGTGAAAGAAAAATTACAATCCTTCTATGCATACTGAAGTTTCAGGGTGGACACGACCACCACCATCTATATTTATATAACATAAAAAATGACAAAGTTTGAACCTCCACAGTGACCTTGACCTTAGTGGTAGAAACCCGAGTCTTGTTCGCGACATACCATACATCCATATTTATTTCATATGTGAATGAAAAATTACAATCCTTCTATGCATACTGAAGTTTCAGGGCGGACACGACCACCACCATCTATATTTATATAACATAAAAATGACAAAGTTTTAACCTCCACAGTGACCGTGACCTGAGTGGTAGAAACCCGAGTCTTGTTCGTGACACACCATACGTCTATATTTATTTCATATGTGAAAGAAAAACTACAATCCTTCTATGCATACTGAAGTTTCAGGGCGGACACGACCACCACCATCTATATTTTTCTATAACATAAAAAATGACAAAGTTTGAACCTCCACAGTGACCTTGACCTAAGTGGTAGAAACTTGAGTCTTGTGCTTGAGTCTTGTTCGCGACACGCCATACATCAATGGTTATTTCATATATGAAGGAAAAGTTACAATCCTTCCATGCATACCGAAGTTTCAAAGCGGACACGACCACCACCTACTATATTTATATAACATAAAAATGACAAGTTTGAACCCCCACAGTGATCTTGACCTTAGTAGTAGAAACCAGAGTCTTATTCGCGATACACCATACATCAATGGTTATTTCATATATGAAAGAAAAATTACAATCCTTCCATGCATACTGAAGTTTCAGAGCGGACATGACCACCACTGTTTATATGTATTATAAAGCGGAACGGACTGACGGACTAACGGACAGACGGACGGTTCGATTTTAATATGCCACCCTCCGGGGGCATAAAAATGAATTTTCTTGTATAATAAAATTCTATTCCATTCCAAAATTGTATGTATCTCGACATCTGAAATATAAAATATTACCAGTACAGATGTCCTAGATTTTTCCCTATGACAGGTTTTCTAGATAGAACCAGAAAATAAATTTTCGAGACAATGGTCCTTTACATTGTGCATATGGTATGGCGATTTTATTTTGTCTCTTGAAATAAACTTTCTATCAGCTATTTATATGAACATCTGGAAATGAGAATCAATCATTGAACTGACAAAAAATACATCTTTTTAAAAACAACTAATGGAAATGCATTTCATATCGAATATGCATAAATCTCATTTTCAAAATGAACAACATTACAAAATCCACAGATCCATACAATGGACGAGTAAGAAAATGTGACGAATTCTTGAACGTACCTTCTTATTTATTATTTAATTGTCAAATGTGAAATAATTTGCGTCATCTCATATATTGACAATTTATTAAGGACTCGTAAATGTTTTTTTTCAATTGTCCCGTAAGTGACCTAGTCTCCAGATGCTATGGATTGACAGAAAGAAATGTAAATACTTTGAATTATATATTTATAATGATTGAATATTAACTTATATTTATTTATGAAATGGAGCAGATATTCATTTGGCAAGGGTGGGCCATATTAACAATACTTAAACAATTGAACTGAAAATAGTAAAACAATGAGTAAAATATCGTATAAGTGGTAAAAAAAAAAGTTCAACAAAATTGCTAGATTTGCATAAAATCCAAGTTAGTGTAAACAAAAACAATAATACGAATCAAAACAAATATTTTTTCTCATAGAAATATCACTTTCATTCAGAAAATTACTGTTTAATAATTGTAAGGAGAAATGTCTGCCTTGATGTTATTTAATCTAAGGATAGATTTAGTATTTTTTTTTTTTGTAATTAACATTTTATTTCCCATATTGTACAAAACATGTAACAGAAATATTTTTTGGTCAATATAATGTATTGGCAATCAATAAACTGTGTCCAAACCACCTAACTAATTATTCATTTTCATGACAAAAGCCACCCTAACTTACCCTTCAGTGCTTAACAGATAGAGGATTCTCTTTATAAAGACCTCTTCTTGTCTATATAGGAAATGTTATATTTCTCCTCAGTGTGACCCTGGTCACAGGTTAGACTGTAATCATGCATCAAAGTACATAGTCAATACAAATTCAATAACCTCAATTAAAGCCAAATTAATCAGTACACATACAATAGTTTTAAATGGAGCCATATTAATCAGTACAAATACACTAGGTTCAGATGAAGTCAATAGTTTCAAATGAAGCCATATCAATCAGCACAAACACATTAATTTCATATGAAACCATATTAATCAGTACAAACACATTGATTTCAATTGAACCTGTATTAACCATATCATTTGTACATAACTATAATCAATATTGCTTTATTCTGATGCAGGAGAGAATTCTATATCAATCGAGGATTTTCATATTGTACAGTGATTTTGAGAAGAGGAAAGGAGAAAAACCATTCCTTCCTCCCCCTTTAATAATATTTAGAGTTTTACTCTATAGTTTAAAGTAATGTAGTACTGAATGCTTAAATTTAAATACCATATTTAAATTTTGTACCTATGGGATGAATATGCGTTTTAAAGAAAAAGGATATAAAAAATGGAGAAAATAAAAAGGGTTCAGTGAAATCTACTAGAAGGATTTTTATCTCAGATTCAAATCTGAAATTTCAAATAATAGGGAATTTTAGATTTTTTGGTGGTGTCTCCCGGTGCCGCAGCAGTGAAGTGCAAAGTTGTAGAATAATAATACATGACTTAAACCTTCATTAATACACAGAATACAAAAAAAACACTATTCTAAATTTGCTAGGTTTTTGTATTTCTGTCATGATTTCTGAAACAATTCATATGTTTGATTCTGTTTAGCTATGTATTTTTCAACTGTATATCTGGCATTTATTTGAGTTTTAAAATTAGCAATAGAAGGCCTTATTTGTTTAACTCTACAATAGGTAGATTTATCTTCTTTTGAGATATAAATCCCGTTTAATTTTTGACGGGTGCATATGTGAAATTGCTTCAAAACTCATCCGTGTGAAACGGTAAAAACATTCCGATAAAACTGGTTTTCGTAAGTTTACCAAGCACGAGTTTTTCGTGCGTACATTGTAAAGGCTGCGCATTTAAAGTTTAAAATTTGACGTGGAAACATCGCTTATTAAAACTGCTCTCGGTATTTGAAATGCTTCAACAGTTCAACACAGCTGGTTTCAACTGTTCACCAATTCGTCTTTCAGATAAGTATTTCATGTTATTTTGATTAATTTTGCTTTACTTAAATGTGCATTTTAAATTTAGTATGGCAGTGATTCTTAATATGCATTTCACAGTGTAGCTATAACTTACGCAAAAA